AGGCAGGCCGGCTCTGAGTCTGACCTTATGGTGCATGTTTGGTGACCACAGTAGTTCAAGAATCTGCAAGTTTCGGCAACAAGGTACTTGAAGGCGATTGTGCCACCCTTGGCAGGTGTCGGAATGGCATGGACTGCACCAGTGTGGGAATCCTTCAACACCAGCACCACAAGTTTCTCTTGCGTGTGACCTTCAAACTGGGCAGGGGTGCGCCTACCAGTATATGCAAAATCCATGCAGCACACGGAGTCCTCACGCACATCTGGCTTTGCACGCACATGCTTATCTGCTTTAGCTCTGAACCTCACGCAATGCGGGCACCAGTCAGCATAGGGCATGTGACTCAACTCGTGGCGCCTCTGTTCCTCAGCCGTGGGTGCTTCCACGAACTTTTGCTCACGCAACGGCTCACGCCCATCTGTCTGGAACTCGTGCTGCTGCAGCAGCTCCTGCGTCTTCAGGCGCTGCTCTATCCTCTGGAGGACAGTTCTTGCCCCTGACTTACCTATCCCAAGGACGGACTTGGCATGCCGTTCTGAGGGCGCTGAGGGTACAACCCAGGTGAAGCTCTATGCCATTCACGATTACATGCCCTTGGGCTGGCACATCCTCGGCTTGAACAAGTGGTCCAACGCCTCCCCCGTCATCACCAGCAGCAACATTTTCATCGCGCTCATCATGCTCTTCAAAATTCATCGCATCATCTGGCACATCGGGAAAATCATCATCGTGCATTGCTGCTGAAGGCATGGCATTGGGCACACGAGAGAACAAGCTGTCGATGTTCACGGGATGCACAGAACCGATGGTGATGGTCTGACGGTTCACCGGAGGGGCAATTTCGCAATCTGCCTGATCAAGATTTTCCACAAGGCTGTTGACCTCGATCACTTGCCAGCCTGTGGGTCTCTGCTGCAGTGTCGTCCTGTATGCCACCCCTTTGTGCCCAAGTGGGACTGTCACATCAAGGAAGTTTGTGGTGTAATCTCTAGGGGCAAAGATGCCGGGTTGGACCTCGACAAAATTATCCGGCAGGCTTAACCAAACATCCCCGACCGTCAGCACCATTACAGCTCTGTCGCCCTCTCGATCAGCACACGCTGATACATTCATGATTGTTCCCGTGGCGTGCAAAGAATTGTGGCGATAGTGTAACGGTACACGGATTGCATTGTCCGGGCTTGTCAAGAAAGGGGTATTGTCGGTATGTATCAGATTCCAACCCCGTTTGAGGAGTTTCCCCACACTAAACAACGGTTGCGTCACACTCCCTAACAACCACCCTTCCTTGAACTGAACCCCATCTATGTCAAGCACTGCCGTCCTCATCTGTGATCCAGAAATCACACTTCCCTGAGCATCACGATAGCTGTTGTTCGTGGTGCCCCCAGCAACCCCAACATGGCGCCAGGATTCAGGCAGGCATGACTCGTCTGAGCCTGAGTCTATCACTAGCTCGATAGTGGTTCCTGGCAGGCCAGAGGTCACTGCGCGCACATGCAGCGCATCGCGCGCATCAGCACTCTTCTGAGTCATCAATGCGTGCCTTATCCTCGCCGGGACATGTTTGCTGACTTCACACTTGCGCACGGCGTTGCATTCGGCGAAAGTTGCTCGCATGGGTGCTCAAACACGCAGCACAGGCAGGCCTGTCACTCGGCATCAAGTTGATACCACGCAGTTCGCCCTCAGGCACGGTCCAGGCACCATCTCCATCTGCATATGACATGTCAAACATCTCAACGCTGGTGCTCTAAACAACAGGCTGCAACTCGGCTGGCTTAAGTAAAGTCACCGCTGTCCAGGCACCATCTCCATCTGCATATGACATGTCAAACTCACAAAGCTCCACCAACTTGGGTCAGGGTCGCCCTGGTAGGATTGCCCATCACACATGAGCACTGCATTGATGCGACCCTCTTGGCACATGTTGAACTTCGGGCCTGTCATGTCAATCGCAACACGAGCAACACGATGCTGGGTGGTTGCAGTGCTTGGCGCAACTTGAGAAACTGACAGGACCCTTTCAGAGCCTTTTTTCCAACTTTTGCGGGCCGCCCGTTAGAAAAATCGCTGAAAAACGTGGTATCGCGCGGGCCACATTCAGGACCGACAAACGACGAGAACATAGAACGCATTAGAGTACCCCCCCAGTGGCAACCTGAATGGCGCCTATATGAATAAGTCACGCAAAGCACCACATGTTTGGGTTGGACGCAAAGATAGTCAGCGGTCCCTTAAGACTGTTAGCAATAGCGTCATGACGGAACTATTGCACATGAGAAGCTGAATTGCAACTGTGGCAATTTGAATGGCGCCTATATGAATAAGTACAGCCCGCTTTGCCACGCAGCGGTGCATTTTTATTGTCTTGTGTCAAGAGTCCCTACGTCATCAGAAATACCAAAATCGCACAGTTTTTGGCCTTTGTTTTAAGGCCAGAAATTGGGTTAGAATGCACTATCTGGGACTCTTCCGACACCGCAACGACTGTGAGCACGCTCGAACCTTCCAGTTTGCCGTGTGGTGGAATTCCAGATAAGGCAATGGAATCTGATACTTTGAAGAAGAAGAAACTTGCCCGCAGCCGCTGCTGGCCTGCAGGCTGCTGCAGAGTCTGCAGGTTGCCGACAGTCTACAGACCCTCAGGCTTCAGGCTGCTGCAGGGCCTGCAGGCTTGCTGCAAAGTCCGCATGCTTCAGGTTGCTGCAGCACATGCAGGGTCTGCGACCTTAAGAGCGACGGATGCTTGTCTCCGGTCACAAGCTCTTGCGCATGCCCCCAAGCCTCCAACGGCAATGTCGAAGGTCGGTCTGACATAACCAAATTTTCGACAACACTTGTTGATTTGGGACAAGGTAGGCCCTTTGCTGGAGGTTTGGAATGTGTGCCTCAAGTGAAGCCAAATCCGACCTCAGAAAGACACAAGAAGCGAGAACACGTTTGAGTGCCCCCGCAGTGCACGCTCCGCGCTGGGGAAAAACCACAGTTTACACATAAATGCATAGTTTTTTCAAAACTTTAAGGTTTATGTTCTGTTTCTACTTGGAATCAAGGTCCTGCACGCTGTTTTCCCGCATTTTTGAGTGTAGCTCGTGTATTCTCAAGGGTTATACGGTTTGCCAGTCAATCCCTTCAAGAGCTTCAAAACTTCATCAGGACCTCCCAGAGCCTTTCTTCCAACTTTTGCGGTCTGCCCGTTGCATCGCGCGGGTCCACATTCAGGACCGACAAAAACGACAAGAAACATAGAACGCAGAGTTCCCCCCCAGTACGCACACTTCCAAATGCTTCCGCACACTTGGATCCGTGATGCCTGTGTGGGTTTTCTCAGCCAGTTCAGAAGGTCGAAAACCCGAGGTGCCGCAGGAAACGGACTGTTTTTAACATGAATGTTCTGAGTTACAGCTGTCTACTGGAAAAACTAGAATTGATTTTTTTCAAAGCTGGCATAGCGTTCTCAAAAAAAGTCATTGTGGATTTTTTGGGATTTTTTCAAGTCCATGTCCAAGCCAACCGTTCCATCCAAATCCAAGTTCAGAATAAAGAAGCCACCTCCAGCGAAACTACCTGTGCTGCAGAAGAGAAGTTTGGAAGAAGAAGAATAATGTGGATGGTAAAGATATGGATTGAGCCCATGGCATTTGGCCATTGGCCATGGAGTTTACGAAAATGCGCACTTAAGCCACACAAAGTGTTCTGTGCCTCATCAAAGCACTTTACCAGCTCTTGCCGGCGTCGCTGCTGTCAACCTATTTCTCTCTCACATCAGATGCAGTTCAAGTGCCGTCTGTCCGCTGTTTAAAGGCATCCAGCCAGCACGCATGAGCTGATCTAAGAAAATAAGGGTGCTGGTCACACACATTGCTCTTTATACAATCAATCATTTCACTTTGGTCATACCTTCTGCCAGAACTTTCAGTGCGCAACAGCTCTAAAATGCAAGATTCGCTATGACACTGGCGCTGCACTGATGGAAAGAATTTATTTTGCAGTAATGCAACATTGGCGAACAATGCAGAGAAGTTGGGCAGTGTGCTTGGAAATGCAAGCTTCTGCCAAGTCTTGCGCTTGGCTTCCACTTTTTTTGATCGAACCCTTGGAATTTGGATTTTTTAACATGAACTCTCAGAAAAAGCCTGGATCGTGGCTGATCTTGGTTTTGTCGCATTTTTGAGCAACATTCACACATGTTACAAGCCCTGAGATGACAGCCAATACTTAACATGCTACAGATCGAATTGGTTAGTGCCCTGAAGAATGGAAGATTTTTTTGCCGATAAAGCTTTGTTGGTCCGCGTATTTCCGTGTGGGAAAGTTGAGTGCATTACAGTTCTAAGCAATGATGGCTGTTAAAGTGGATGGCATTAAGTTCACTGGTGAGCTGCATGCGTGAAGGTTTGAGCAGTACAGGCTTAAAGATTGAGCACAAGCGCAAGCACGTTTGCGCAACCCTGCCAAGTGAATGGGCGGTGTCAGACGAGACAATGCTGGCCGATCTTGTGCCAGAACGCAGGTCCTCCTGCTGCGACGAGTCGACAACAAGGAGCTTGCAGTGAATGACAAGGAGATCGAGCAACCTTCTGAGTGGATGGATGCTGCAATTTACAAGTGAAGAGCGAGAGCTTTGATGGGAAGATGGAAGTGCAGTGGGCAGAGCAGGCAGACAGATGAGATGATGCCTCGCGGTGCGATGAGCAAAGCAGAGCGAAGGAGTTAGAGAAACAGTATTTGACAAGGAGCCGCAGCTGAATGACAAAGAACTTCGTCAGCTGGATGAGTCGCAGACGAGTACGAAGTGCAAAGGTTGGTGCGAAAGGGCGTCATTCGGGATGTTAGGCCGAGAGGCTCAGTCGATGCAACTGGAGTGGAGAAAGAAAACAAGAGATCGCTCTCGATTAGTCGCCCGAGAATTTAGGTGGTTGCAGAGTGACCGAACAGGAGTCTTCTCACCAGCAACAAACAGTGCAGTCATGCGCTTATTGCCTTGGATTTTCGCAATGCTGCGCAACACTTCGGATGATGAGTATTCCATGTTAACCATGGATATCCGAGATGCATATTTAGAAGTTCCACAAGGGGAGCGTGTCATAGCGAGCATGCCAGCGGATTACAGCCAGAAGAGTGAGTACGAATTCGACAGGTGTATTCCTGGTCAAAGAGACGGATCGTTGAAGTGGCATGATTACTTGATGTCATACTTGAAGACTGATGAACTTTACCATTTACCCCCTAGCATATCTTGTGTACAGATTTTCTAGTGCTTTGACACGTCTTTCATGTTTTGCCAGGAGTGCATTGCATGATTCGGATGATGCGACATTCAGGCCCAAACTTAAGTGGAAAAGACCGCTTGTTTTTTCATGGTAGCGGAGCTCTGGAAAGCCAGACTCCGAAACACGTTTCTTCGGCGGTTTGAGTTCAGGGACCAGGACCTGATCTTTCCTTTGCTTTGTTGGGGTTTTCTTCTGGGATTTAGGCTGTAGTGTCTATCTCCCGCGCGCCTGCTGCCATAGTTTCATTTTGCGGCCTCCCAGGCTTTACGGGAAGAGCCAACCACGACTACTGCTGCAAGCCTGGAGGCTGTCAAAGACAAACTTCGAGAGTTTTACAGAGAGCAGCTGTTTCTTCGGGTGAAGCCTGAAAACCGAAGGCAAGCGAGCTGGGAGAAGCAGTTGTCTGTGGTCGAGGAAGCATTTGAACTTCGCTTGGAAAAGTTTTCGACAGTCGAAGAAGTGCTTGCATTTGGTGGTAAGTGCTTGAAGAACGAGAACCTTCGCGAATCTTTTACCTGGTTTGGTTTCGAGGCTGCCGAAGAGCAATCGTTGAGCTGGGCAGCGCAAGTTGCTTTCGTGCACCTGCAGCAGGAGCACGAGAACCTGGATCGAGACCTGTCTGTGGGGTCTATCACTTCAGAGCCCAATACGCCAGGACACTCTCGGGTGTTCAACAAGAAGCTGCAGTCGGCAGCAAGCCCCATCGACCTCGATCAGAACGAGCCAGAGTACCCCTTTCCAAGCCGGAAGCCCACGAGTGTGAGATCGCATCTTTCACTGTTCGAACATGGCAGAGCAACTTCCAGTTATTGATGACGATGATGATGATGAGCTGCAAGAGAACGGAGCAGCTTCGTCACAACAACATGGAAATCCATTTTCCCCGACAAGCCAAGGTCAAGGAGCCCAGGGCGTGTACGTTTCTGTGGATGATTTGCGAGTGATGATGCAGCAGATGACTGCTGCTACCAAGGCTGCAAGTGATGCTGCAATGGCGGCAGTAAGGGCCAATTCTTCGAAGGCCTCCCTTGGTTCAAGTGAGATGAGCCGAATCCTGCCGCGGCCGGACACCTTCAAGCCGACAACTCGAGAGGAGGAGCACTCGCAGTGGTTGCAATGGGTATGGTCGCTGAAGCAATATGTGGTAGCGCTGGACACTGCTTATGCCGAGGATTTGAAGAAAATCGAACAGTTTCCAACAGCCGAGATTGGGTGGATAAGTGATCCTGATGCTTTGCAAAGGAGCCAACGAATGTATGCATTGCTTTCTGGATTCGTTCGTGGCAGAGGTTTGCAAGTGATCCAACGTGTTCCATCACAAAATGGCTATGAGGCCCTACGACAGCTGATGCAACTTTTCCAGCCGTCAAGCCGTGCCTGCTCGCTTGGCATCCTCACCGCTCTCACTCAGACGCACCCGTTTCGCGCCAACGAGCCGTTCCTGGCCCAGCTGTTGGATCTGGAGCGAGTGATGGAGGAATACGAGCGTTCGTCTGGCAAGAAGCTGGGAGAAGACCTCAAAACCTCGATACTGCTCAAGAGCATTTCTGGCGGCATGCGGAACCACCTTTCCACTGTCTTGACTGAGACTTCCTCCTACGACGAGATCCGAGAGGCCGCTCTTCGTTATGAGCGCATGCAGTTCAAGTGGAGCCCTTCAAACCTTTTCAGCACCGAGTCTTCGTATGCGCAAAAGAAGTCCCACGACCAGGAACCGCAGCCAATGGACATCGGTCAAGTTAAGGGTGGTCCTAAAGGGTACAAAGGTGGCAAAGGTCCTAAGGGTCCTAAGGGTTCAAAAGGTCCAAAAGGCAATGACAGCAAGGGCAAGTATGGCAAGGCTGGAGGCAAAGAGTCTAAAGGTTATTCTCAGAGCTACAACAATGCCAAAGGCGAGAGGAATCCAGGCAAAGGTGGCAAGGGTGATAGGAAAGGCAAGAACAATGCACCGAAGGGGGGCAATCTGTCCTCCAACACTACATGCCACAACTGTGGCCGTCCTGGCCACTATGCAAGAGACTGCTGGCGCCCTCGTGTCAACCAGGTTGAGCAGTCCCGAGGCCAGCCTGGCCCACAGCCTTCCGGAGCTTCTGTGAGCGGCGCCTTCATATAGCAGTGCCCCGAGCCAAGCCTCCACAGCCGTGCGTCGTGTCATTGCCGAGCCTTTTGTGATGGACATGAGCCAGCTTGACCTGTCAGGTGATGACCCTTTCGTGCGAATGATTCATGCACAGCATTTCCGATTGGATGCCACAGATGGCGACTCAGACTGGGAAGTGATTGGGTGTTCGAACAGAACCCATGAGCAGCATGTGCGAGCACTGACCCGAACCAGTGACACCTGTTCTGTGATCATCGACTCCGGAGCTGATGTCTCTTGCATTCCGTTGAGCTTTGCATCGTGTGGAGTCAGCTCCCCTGGGGACTGTGTGATGCATGTGCGTGATGCTCAGGGTGGTAGCATGCAGGTGAAGGATGAGCGGATTGTTGATTTCGTTATGCAAAGCCCAAGCCATGGACATGTCACAATCCGTGAAAGATGCATCGTCGCAGACGTACTGCAGCCGCTAATAAGTATGGGTCGGTTGATCAAACAGGGCTGGTTTCCGTGCAAAAATGCCCAAGGCTTCTGGTTGAACCATGATGCTTCAGGAGCCGATGTGCCTATGACATTCCGAGGCATGAGCCTTGGAGTGGATGCCGAGATTCGTCGGGTTGAGAAAGCCGAAAGTCCAAGTTCTTGTGTGCAAGCCTGTGATCCACAGAGTTCCCACGTCCAGTCGAAAGGTCCTCAAGTGCAATCATGTGATCCGCAGAGTTCCCACGTCCAGTCGAACGGTCCCCAGTGTCAACCAGATGACACACATGTCCGCGTCCTTCAGCATGCCGTGTTGGGTCCGGAGTTGAGCAACTTGCATTTCGGGTGGCAGATCCTCACCTCAGGGAATTTGTGCTGGCGGGGTCGTTCGTCACGCATGTTAGACCCATCCTTTATGGTTGATCGAAGCTGGCCCTTGCGTTCCACCTTGATGAGACGAAGTGAAACCTCAGCTTGGTTTTTGATCGAACACTGTGAGTCGTGGTTGGGGATGGAAGATCTTGAAGATGACATCCTAGGAGGTGGAGAGGCTGAGTTGATCGTTTGCATGCATGTGAGCAAGGAACCCATGTCTTCGCTCGGAGTTGAAAATCTCACTGAGAGCCTGGTTGAGGATGTAGTTCCATCTCCCAAGACCCCAGAACTTCCGTACGATGAGGATGAGTTGTTCGATTATGAACCGTCGCCAGTTGATGAGCCCGATGCAGGTGTGATCATTCGTGAAGAGCCTGCGTCCCGAGGTGCGTTGCCCGACATGGAAGAGCCTCTTAGCAATCCCGTTGCTGAGCCTGCTGACACGCTCACTCTTGACATTGATGGCGTTGTGCTCAACTGTGAGAGTTCGATTGGTGCCCTGAAAGCAGCCTGCACTAAGTTGGGTTTGAGAACTTCCGGTTCTAAGACTAGGCTGTTTCAGAGGATAAAGGGTTACCTTGAGAAGCAAAAGTTGTCACTTGCCTCAGGCTTCAGAGGGAGCTGCTCGATTGCCCCACATGCAATCAATCCCCGATGTTCCGTCCAGAGAGCAACAGCTCATTCACGAGCTCACTCACACGCCATACGCGGCGTGGTGCAGCCACTGCATCACCATGCGATCTGTTCTGGACAGATCAGAGGCTACAAATGCCGCACCACGAGACCTCCCGAGCGTCTCTTTCGACTTCTGCTATACCGGGTTCAGTCCTTCCTCGAACGAGCTTGAGCCTGTAGCAGGTGAACCTTCTTCAAGTGCCAAGGACCTACTTTGCTGTCTGATCGCACACGATTCCGCCACTGGTGCCATCACGGCAATACCCTGTGAGAGCAAAGGCAGCACGCGATACCTTGGGGTTGAGCTGATGAGGTTCATTCAATCCTTGGGTCATGCGACAGTGGAGTTGAGGTGTGATGCTGAACCAGCTACACTTTCGTTGCAGCGTGCTGTGGTGAATGCGAGACAGAGGCTGGGATTGAAGACGGTTGAAAGGAATCCTCCTGTTGGCCACCACCAAGCCAACGGGTATGTTGAGAAAGCGGTAGACCTGATCCGAAGGTTGGCGTGCACTCTCTTGGACATGGTGAGGCATAAGACTGGATGCAAGATCGATGTTGTGCATCCTCTCTTCGCATGGTCCTTTGTGCATGCTGCATGGATCCGGAACAGGTTCGCTGTGGCAGGAGGACTCACGGCGTATGAACGCACTTGCAACGCTGCTTACACCGGGAAGCTTGTGGCGTATGGAGAGCCAGTGTTTGCACAAGTGCATGCAAAGAAGAAAGGAGACCCAAAATGGCTGAAGGCTATTTTCTTGACCAAGACCAGTTTGAACGACATGTATGTAGTTGCAAGCAGAGGTGGCGTGCGAGTCACCCGCTCCGTGAGGCGCACAGGTCATGAGTGGAAGCATGATGCTGCTTTGTATGCCGATGTTAAGGGTTTTCCTTGGAACTACAGTAGCGGGGTCATAGGAACTAAGATGGTTCCCCCGGCCAAGACAAGGAAGGCCTTGCCTGCACCAAGCAGCCCACAAGACGTTGCAGCTTCAGATCCAGTGCCCGAAAGTGTTCCAACACCGAGACCTGAGCTTCCAAATCCTTCACAAAGGCCACATGTGCCTCCTGCAACACCCGTGGAAGACCTGCTTCCACTCACAAGTCCAGTGGTGCCATCAGGCACTGCTATGGAGACTGATGAGGCCAGTGATGTTCTTGAAGAACGTGCTTCAAAAGTTCCGAGAATCCGAACCGTTTCTTTTGCCAACAAGGACTATGATCTTAATGACGAGCCCTTTGAGTTTGTGGATGCAGATTGGTCCGACTTCGAGTTTGTGGACCCCGATTACGACAAGTGTTCGAGCACCGAACCCGACTCGGCAATGAAGGACGAGGCGGGGCAGAGCGTTGATGCCAGTGCTCTATGGTTTCCAGACAATGGTTGTGAACCGAAGCTTTCAGAGTCAGATTTGTTCGAACTTGACAGGATCGCTGATGCTGTGGAAGTGAATAGGCTGATACAGAAGGGTGTGTTGCGCCCGTCGTCCGAGAAGGACAACGTTTCATCGATGAAGAGTCTCTCGACCAAAATGGTCAGGACTTGGCGGCAGAAGAAGAGGAATGGGATGTCACAGTATCTCCGAAGATCCAGACTAGTGGCAAGGGAGTACAAGTGGCTTGAGGAGAAATAGGGGCTATTTTCCCCAAGTACCACGACAAATATGGTGAAACTCATTCCGATCCTTTTTCTTTTGTGGAGAGCGACGAGGCCAGAGCAATATGCGATATGTGCGGTAGACGTCAAAGATGCCTATTGAGAGGTGCCTCAACAGGAGCCCGTTGTCGCTGATCTACCCAAAGATTGCATGCTTCAAGGACAATACGTCTTTGAGAAGTGTGTGCCTGGACAGAGAGATGGTGCACAAAGATGGTTTGGATATTTCGTACAGTTTTTGACCGACAAGTTCGATGCCCTTGAGTCTTGTGTTGAGAACCCGGCAATCATGCGTGTGCCCGAGGGCCCGATGATCATGCATGTCGACGATGGTCTTACGCTTGCTCCCTTGACATGGCTCAAGCAGAAGTACATCCCTACATTGCAATCGCGTTTCGAGATCTCGGTAGAGATTGCGTACAAGAATGGAGATGTCTTTTCTTTCTTGAAGAGAAAGCACACTATTTTGGAATCTGGGATTTTAGTGGAAGCTTCGAGCAGCTACATACGACACATGGCCGAAGTACTTGATGTCAAGCACGGATCGAAGCATAACACACCATATCTTCCAGAGCTAATTCGCGAAGATGTATCTGGTCCTCTTGACCCTGTTCGAGCAGGGAAGTTCAGGAGTGCACTGGGTATTGCATTGTATTTGTCAAGTGATCGCATTGACATCTGCTACTCTGTCCCACTTTTGGCAGGATTCATGTCAAATCCCACCGAACAGGCATGGAAAGGATTGATCAGACTAGCGAAGTATCTGCTTAACACTGCTGAGTATGCCACGTTGCTTTCACCCAAGCTTCCTGGATCCACAGTCTTCCGCGAGGCGAATCACGATGATATGCCCAACCGAATTGAGATCTACAGCGATTCTGATTGGAGTGGACATCGGGTTACAAGAAAGTCTTTTGGATCCGCGTCGTATGCAGTGAATGGTTGTGTGTTCCATCACATTTGCAGGTCACATCGCACTGTGAGTCTTTCATCAGCAGAGCGATAAGTGCTGCTTGCGAAGGAATTTTCCTGAGGGCGATTTTCGTCTTCATGGCGGCGATTACAGAATGTTAAGATAGACAATTCAGCAGCGAGACAGCTCGCCTTACGCCAAGGCGTTGGGAACAAGACTCGCCATGTAGCTGGTCGTCTCTTGTGGTTGCAGCAATCAGTGCGTGAGAAGATCATCGATGTTGGAGCAATTGCAAGCATTTTCAATCTTGGCGATTTATCTACAAAGATGCACAGTGCCAATCGTTTGCGAGCCTTACTGTTCTTGCATGGTTTCGTTGATGCTTTCACAGGAAAGGCTATTGGCGAGGAAGAGTTTGCACAAATGGCTCTGCAAGATCAAGCAAAGATGCAGGTGAAGAGAGTTCGTACTGAATATGCTCGGCAGCATGGAGTGACCGGTTCCTTGAAGGGCGAAGCAAGCAGGCTGACGAAACAGGTAGCACTTCTTACTCTTCTTTGTTTGCCTACAACTGGAGATGCAGCAGAGGCGGCGAATCCGTACCGGCGTCATGGCATGGCGAACGTGACTTGGGCTACCGTCCTGTTGTGCTGTGGTTTGTGCATTTACCGGGCCTTGAGCTGGGCTAGAGACTTCCATGGTTTCGACATGAACAGTCTTCTGGAAATGAGCTCGCAAGACTTTGCGACCAAGATGATCATGAGTTTCATCTTCCTGTGTGGACTGATGCCGGAGTGTACCATGGAGCAGTACATGTGTTTCTTTCTTCTTGGGGTGGTGTGGACCATGCATCGCTACATTCTTCAGCTGGAGCACAAATTGCAACCGACGAGTACTGAGCCAACTGATGGTGAGCTGATGCGAGTCCGTTCTGATGCCAATGTGAGAATCGTGGTACCCCAAGAGCTTTTCGTTACACGAAGTGGTGAGTGTTTTCATCACAGAAGCTGTGGAACCTTGAAGAGTTCCCTCAATCCCCCAAGGAGGTTGAGCACGTGCAGTCATTGTAAAGACATGCTGACGCGCACAGAGTAGCAGACGAAAGTTCATGTGAGATATGCAGTTCGAACACTGCAATCTCAGGCGGGGTGATGAACTTTACCATTTACCCCCTAGCATATCTTGTGTACAGATTTTCTAGTGCTTTGACACGTCTTTCATGTTTTGCCAGGAGTGCATTGCATGATTCGGATGATGCGACATTCAGGCCCAAACTTAAGTGGAAAAGACCGCTTGTTTTTTCAAAGACGAAGTGCAAGGTAGAAGTGTGCAAGGCATGTCCAGCGATCGTTATCGTTGACGGTGGCCGTATGATCGTGCATGTCGCCGACATGATGGTTGTCGCCCCTAAACATTGGCTCATGAAGGTGTTCATCCCTTTTATGGAAGAGAGGTTCGATTGCACATGGGAGCTGGCCACCAACTCGGGAGATACAGTTTCTTTTCTGAAACGAAAACACACGGTCACAGATTCCGGTGTGATAATTCATGGGCAGCCCGAGTTGTTTGACAAGATGTGTGATGTGCTTGGTGTTTCGGCAAAGCGAACTTCAAAGTCACCGTGCACTAGGGAGCTGGTAAAGGACATCGATTCACCTCAGCTAGACCCAGAACGAGCAAGCAAGTTTAGGACAGCCATTGGCATTGCGATGTATGCGTCAACAGACAGGTCAGACGCGTGTTTTGCTATCAGGACACTTGCCCAAAGATTGTCACATCCCACAGAGTTTGACTGGACGGCGGCACAGAAGTTGGCATCTTACCTTAGGTGCACAAAGAGCTTCGCTACACATGTAGAGCCTGGGTTCCTCGATGATGGATTGGCGAGATCAACCTTCACTTTCTTCGGCCAGCGACACAGTCTTGAAGTGTACAGTGACAGCGACTGGTGTGGCAACCGCAAGAATAGGCGATCGATGAGTGGAGGTGTGTTCTACTTAGACCAGGCAGTCATTTATACCACATGCAGATCGCAGAAGTGCATCTCGTTATCTAGTTGTGAAGCCGAGTGGTATGCAGCTACAACTGCAGCATGCGACATGCTGTACATTGGCCAGTGTTTGCAAACTTTGCTTGGAGAGCCAGTGGACATGACTGTTCGACTAGACAACAGTGCAGCGAGATCCTTAGCGTTTAGAACTGGAGCTAGTGGGAAAACACGTCATATGGATGCTAGATATCTCTGGTGCCAGGAGAAGGTCAAGGCTGGGGCATTGACTTTCAGGAGCGTTCCGGGAGAAATGAACCCAGGCGACATCAGTACAAAGGTGCTGTCAGAAAATAGATGTCGAGCTCTTCTCGGTGCTCAAAAGACAGTGGATGTGGACACGATGGAGCATGTTGGCGAGCGAGAGTGGAGAGACGTGAGAGAGACGACTGAGATGCATCGGCAGGTTCGTTCAGTGCAGAGGTCATTTGCAAAAGTCAGAACGAATGATCGCTTCGTCAGGATGATGGTCTTGGCGATGATGGTCAGTGGTGCGACGGCCGACACTACTGGATATGAGTTTTCGCCAAAGTGCGGTGGTATGAACATTGCATGCAGTGGCATTGTTACAGTGATTGCATGTGTCGCTGTGTTGAGCCTTGGGTCGAGTGTGATGGCACGGCTGATTTCAAGCAGCAGTGGAGCCACCAATTGGCTTATGGCAACAGTGGTCATGTGGAATTCCATGCCAGTGTGTGCGATGGATAGTTCAAGCAATGGAAATTCGAATGGGTCAAAACATCCTGGAGACAAACCAACAGCTACCTACGAGTCCGTGGGTCTTTTCTTGCAGACGATTTACACGCTCATTGTGGAGGCTTTTCCTCGTGCGAGCAGTGTGTTGTTGAACATCATTTTGCTGTTCACACTTTGCCTGATGACATGTGCTCGAGGGCGATCGTCAGCTAGCACAGTGACGGTGGGCCTCGGTACATACCCCAGTCCAGAAGGTTCGTCGAGTTCTGCTTCGTCAAGCTCGGCACGTGTTGAGACGACCAAGGATAGCTTCAATTCGCCAACGAAGTGCTCTGGGACTGATGTCCACGTCGCACTCATCTACAAACTCCAACGAGAGGGTTTTTGGGCCCCAAAACAGGGGTCTGTCATGTTACCATTGAACATGTGGAATAAGATGTGCATAGACCTTAAGGGTTCGCTCGCAACTGTACTGATGTTGCAGAAGATGTGCCATCACAGCGTTATGGCAAATCTTGGCGGGGTGAGCAACATTAACACACGTTACAAGCCCTTGTACAGCAGCCAATAGCTTTTGGACCAACCCCAACGTTTTCACCTGAAGAAGCTCCGTCTACCACTAGGTCACTAGGCTCAAAACAGTGAGTGGAAAACATCTGATTTTGTTCAGTTTTGGATCAGCTTGTGTAGTTTTTGTTTTGCTTCGGAGTGATTGGGAATCGTTGTGATCCCATCCTCGATGTTTTTGCCTCGATGATTTCCCTAGGAAATCATACGAGTATGTTTTTGCCCAATACGCTACTTTGAGTGAGTGTGCAGTGTGTAGGAACTTTGTTCTGAAGCTGAGTTTAAGCTCACATGTGAATTCGTTTAGGTTGCGCACTTCATGACTTTTGGCTCAAGGCCTGCGAGTGAAAAAGAGCGTGTCCGCACTTGGTTGGAGATAGGTTTGGGTTCGTGCTTTCAAGGGAAAAGGTACCAGAGGGACCTTCGGTTTTTCACGTTTTGTTTCTGTCGCCTCTTTCCGCGGCGTTGCGTCTTTTTGAGGCCGCGGCTTGTCGTTGCCACCTCACACGCTGTTTTCCAATGCATGATCCACCCTTGAGCTTTGGTTTGCATTGCACAGAACGCTCCCATTCTTGGATAATGACGCCATTTTTTGCCAGTTTTTTGCTTGCAGCCTCGGCCCAAATGCCCCACCGTGAATTTGACCTCGAGCTTGGGGAACTGTGTGCCTTTTGACAAAGCGCCATGCTTTCTATTGCGGCCGCATGGGTCGTCCCGTCTCCATGGGAGCAAGTTTCTCTGCTGATGCCCTTGTTCGTTGCTTGAGGAAAGACTCACATCCAGCACGGAGTGCCATCACTGCGTTTTAACACTTGTTGCTGTAAATTCTGAGCATCCATTTTGCGCCTATATGTGGCCGGAAAAGTGGAGAGCACGGCAAGATTGCTTTTAGAAGCCTTCCATTCGCGATGCGGCCAAGGCGGCACCTTGGAAGGCGACCGAGGTGACGTATCCAGCAAGGATCCTTCACGCTGGGGAAGAAGAAAGTTAGGTGCAAGTCGATTTCCTGAAAAGTGGTCCGGTGGTCCGGTTGGTCGATTGATAAGCTTGGAATCTCCAGTCGGGGCGTGTGGCCCCTGTGCCAGACTCGCTACTTGATCGTCTTTCACCAAAACTGAAGGGAGAGAAATGCTAAATGGCCTCGACGTCAGGCCAGTCAAGGCCGCCCAGAAGTGTTCGATCTTGTGGCTGGCAATCTCCACGGTCTGTTCTCTCTCCGAGGCACCAAGGTGTCACGATTGGCGCACGAACAAAGGCATTCATCTTGTGGAATTCCCGCCATTGTTTCCGTTGTCCATCGCGTGTCCTGCACATCACGAGCTCCATGCGTCGAGCCTGCTCGTGCCACTTGTCCGTGGACCGGCTGTTCTTGTGAGTCATTCTTATTGTGCAAACGTGTTCCAGACCAAGGGGGATTACGGCACGCCCTGCCCGCGAGGGAACGCGACAGCTGCACCTGGGGGCACATTCAGCTGTATATCCAGGAGGGTATTGCGGGTGTCCTCCCTGCCTTCTTCCTGTTTGTCGCATCCCGGCGATGCCACCAAGAGCAGCCGCTCTACTAGGCGCATTTCCATGGGCGTGATAGCCTAGAAGCAGTCCAGCCAACCAGTAGTTTGGGTCACAGCAAGAGCCGCGACCACGCCGAAACCCGCAGAGGGTTGCAATCCCGATTGGCGATGTCAACCCAGCCCGCCGCCTTAGAAAGATTAATTTTACTTTGGAAATCTAGGACTGGGTACGAAGGTCTACTAAATTCTACGTAAATCTCGTAATTTCTATGAACTTCTACTTCACTCTATGCAATTCACTCTATGCACTTCACTCTACGCACTTGACTTTATGCAATTCACTCTATGCACTTGACTCTATGCACTTCACTCTATGCACTTCACTCTATGCACTTCACTCTCTGCACTTGACTCTATGCACTTCATTCTATGCTCTTCAGTCTATGTTGTTGGGTCAGAGGGCTCCGCACGGAAGAACCCTTCGCGATGCTTTCGGGAAAAAGGATAACGCAGTCTTTCTGTCTCATTATTTTCCTTCACACTTTTGATTTGACCCCTCCCTAGGCCCCAGACCTTCTTTAAGCTTCCCTTTTGGCAACTAGTTTCCTATAAGGAAATGACCTGCCAAGATCATCTCACTGAGACAAGATGACATCAAACCGTGAACCACTCTCTTTCAGCTAATTCCCAAAACCTCTGACCCTGAAAGCCGCCTGTCTCTCGATGCGGTCTCACCCCATTTCTGACGCTGGCCGCAACTGTTGGGCATGCGGATGAAAAATAAATTAGGCCCAAAAAATAATGTATGTAGGATCCAAAAAATTTTTTAGGATCAAGAAAAAATCATTCTGTTCTTCCGACGGAGAGAGGGAGGGGGAGGGAGGGAGGGAGAGAATGAGAGAGGGAGGGAAGGAAGGGGAAGGGCGGAAGGACGGAGGGAAGAAAGGAAGGAAGGAAGGAAGCAAGGAAGCAAGGAGGCAAGGAAGCAAGGAAGCAAGGAAGCAAGGAAGCAAGGACGCAAGGAAGCAAGGGAGCAAGGGAGCAAGGGAGCAAGGGAGCAAGGGAGCAAGGGAGCAAGGGGCAGGAGGACGCCCTGAACCGTCTACGCCTGGACACATCCTTCACTTTCCACCTCCAGCAACAAGGCCCAGGAACCATATTGCTGCCGCTTTTCAAGGCGGGGCAGGAATGGCAACAAAAACAGAAGAAAGGAGAGAACGTCCCCCCGATGAGAATCGTTGCGCTGGGCCTCCTGCTGAAAGAGGTCGTGGCAAGAGTCCAACTGATGGTGGGAGATCCCACGGCCGTGGAGAATGCGATGACGCATCAGTGGCTCGACCAGCAGAAGCGCTTCGTGTATCAGGAGTGGAACTCGGCCACCAAACAGGTGGAGCCGTCGGCGACAGCCAAGAGCCTGAAGGTGGAAGAGGCGACGGAGCTCATCAACCAGGTCGCCGAGCTGTGTCTTCCGGATCTGGTCACCAGGTTCTGCGCCCAAAGGCGTCCCAAGCAAGAGCCCCAGGAAGGCGACAAAGCAGTGTTCCTCATCGAAGTAGCCATGCGAGATCCGAGAGTAAACATCCTGCATCAGAAACTGCGACAGTTGGCCAACTGCGCGGTGTGGAATGTGGTGGGAGCGCAACTGCAGCCGCCAAACCAGCAACGCCACGGACTGGCAATGGCACTGCAAAAGGCCCTGGAAAACATCTGAGCGCTGCAGGAAGTGCACGGCCACCTGCTGGTGTGCCGAGTGTCTCTCGCCTCAAGCTTAAGAATAGTGGCAACACTTGCTACATCAACTCCGTCATTACTGCCACCCTGTGGCAAGCACAGCTCAGGCCGGGGAGCCGCATACCTGATGCTTGGCAGAAGGCACTTGCCAAAACGCACTGGGATGCAGCCATGTTTCTCCGCATGTACATGCTAGGCTGGGCGCAGCCCAACAGACAGCATGACGTGAGTGAATTCATACAGTTCATCATCCCTAAGCTTGCTTGGACTGATAGCCTCGTTCACTGGGAGGCGAGAGTTGCAGTTGAGGAGGGATGCACTACTGAAATCAGGGAGCCCGCTGCACCATTGCTACTTCTGGCAGCACCTGGAGGTATCCAAGACGGGGAGCTGGACACCCTCATCCTTAGCTGGCACCTGCAGGCCCAACCGCATGCGCTATGCACAGCTCCGACTCACATTTTCCTTGTTCTACCTAGATATACCACGACCAATGGTGTCACGAGGAAGACCCGTGTGCCTCTTACATTCCACAATCGCTGTGTCCACCTGCCGATCTTCAGAAATGAAAGCAGCATAGCGTGTGATTGGCTTGCCTATGACCTCATTTCCATCATTGTGCATCTGGGTGAAACAGTTCTCACAGGGCACTACAGAACCGTTGGCTTGATACCGGGCAGGACAGATGCCTGGTACATGGACGACGGTGTCGCATCGGAAAGGCTTGAAACCTTAAGCCCCGAAATCCAATCCAACTGTTATGTGCTTGGCTGCATCCGCAGGCCCCCTGCTGGGGAAGGCGGATCGGCCTAACGATGAGAGCTTATTTTTCTCACAAAAGTGGGGGTGCACCCCCATCTAGGGTGCACGGGGGGACAGGCTTGCAACCCTGTCTGAATCTTTGTCTCTGTTCCTATGTACAGGGAAGGCACATGTGAAGCCGACCTTTCGGCCACAGAACCATGATACCGGCATTTCATGTCCGGGTCGCCCTGCTACGGAGTCTTGAGCGATGCGAAAATGAGATAGCTACACTCTCCCCGAGTGTTTTTGTGCTCTTCTTCTTTAGTGTACCGAGTCCTATTCTCAACCATGCCACCATATGCAGTCATGCGTTGCTCCATCAGCACGGGGGTGCCGCTCCCTCATCGGCCCCAGGACATTCGCGGCACAAATGTGCCCGCACTGTTTAGCCCTGTGAGTGAGCGAACTGTGAGACCGGCCGTAGAATAGTATCCCTTGTACATACACCGTCCGTTTGAGTTTGTGAGCACGCGCTTCTTTCCTGTTCACGGTAGGTCCAGGTAGGCCCTGTTGCGCTTGAGACCGTTTTGCCTGCAGTCTAGTTGAACTCCGGTTCCTGCGGGACGTCTCTTGCTGTCCATACCCGAAGCTGTTAGCCGCCGCCACAGAGCGGCCGTGACATATGTCATGAACTACAGCTAGCTAGTAGGTCAGACCAGACCGCTGCGGAATCGAGTTCGAGTTCGAGTTCGAAACCCATGATGCGAGCATTGTGTGTGCAAATGGGGGGGGGGCTGCGCTCCCCCCAACAACCCCCGGCTTTTCTTAAGTCGCCATCCGCTTCTTTTCGACACCTCTGATGCGAGCATCGTTGTGTGTGCAAATCGGGGGGGCCTGCACCCCCCCCCCAACCCCCCCGCTTTATTTTGAATCGCACCAGCTGCTTCAGCATGCTTTCGAAGCCCATGATGCGAGCATTATGTTTGGCGCTTGGGGGGGGGGGGGGGGCGGGCCCTCCCAACCCACCCCCCCCCTCGCTCGTTTTTGAATTCTGGCTTGCTTCAGAGTATACGCATTTCGAAACTTCTGATGCCAAGATGCCAGCATTGATTTGCAGCCTTTGGAAATTTTGGAATGGTGCTAATTGCAGTATTGCCAGCCTCTGAAAGCACCAACGCTGTTATTTACAGTATTTCCTGCATCTGAAAGCGCAGAACGGTTTCTTTTTACAGTATTTGCAACCTCTGGAAACTCAGAACTGCTGCGAGTAACAGTAGTTCTTGCATCTAGAAATGCTGCTATTTGCAGTAGTTGTAGGGCCTTGTAGGGGTCACATTTCTGTCACAAGTCGTCTCCCCCAGCCTCCGCTCCGCTTGCATTCGAAGCTTTCAATAAATTATTTGTTGATCCCAAAAAAGTTTTTTTGCATGGAGGAACAACCCGTCGCAAGCATCATAATAACGTGATCGCTTGGCCACAACTATGTCCCTCCGGGCCTCATCGCTCTCTGCTACGCGGAAAAACCTTGCAGTGACAAGCCAAATGAAGATTCTGCAGCTTCCCCCCACAAATTGGCGGGATGCAACGCTTTTTGGAGAGGTTGGAACAGCCTAAGAGTCGCCCCGTTCTTCAACCTGAACCACAGCACGCACTGCATTTGAATCAACATGAAGTGGCTGTGCAGTGCGAGAAAGCGCTGAGGCAGCTGCAGTGTCCTCCATCTCAGCTATCGGATGCGGAAAGCGTTTGACCACGCATAGCCTTTAGGTTTTAATAATGAATTGGGCAAGCAAATTGCGGAGAGCACAACCACAATAAAGGCAACTATTCGAAAACAACCCTTCAAAACGCCAAAAACGAAAGAATGAGATGTTGCCCTGCGAAGCAAGTGCCACACGAAGAGCCGAAGAGCAGGACGAACAAACGGCCCAGAAGCACAACGAAACCAAAACATCTTGTAGAAAAAAATGCAGATGGCATAGACGCCGATGGCAGGTTTGGATGCTCCGAAGCATCGAACGAAGCTGGAAACACGTGAAAACAAGCAAGTTCTTGCTCCCGTCTCCAAACAAAAGGCTTCGCCGGGGTTGCACTTTCACCGTACCTCTTCTCCTTTGCGCATACTCTTCTCTTCCACGATGTGGAATCCCGTTTTGCTAGTGAGCTTGGAGAAATCTCTCGGTTTTTGTATGCCCCTTTTCTTTTGTGGGCTGTTGAGTACCTTGTTCCTGTTTATAGTTCAGCTGTTCAGACTGAATGGGGTATACTTAAAATAATTGCATTGTCAGCGCAACCCCACAGAGTGAAGACATTCAAAAACAACTCCAAGATGATTCCTGAACCCGTGTTCCAGGCCGTAAGAGAGAAATTCAAAATGTTTCCTGGTTCTTGGAGAGCGTCTTGGATGATAGGCCTGAATCACAGTGAAGGGCATGAAAGGACGAGGTTTGAGGCGCTGATGACATGAATGGGCTGACTGGTGGCTCAGTTTTACGCAGGCCATACTGGCGATGCCTGATGTGATCGTGCAGGTAGAGTTCCAGCATGGCTTGTATGATCCATGCAAAATTTGCTCAAAAGTATTGGTGAAGGATATTTTCCCTTCAGCAAACCAAATTTTGAAATCACTGTTTTTTAACGGCAAACATTCAGGAATCTAAATTCACCAGCCTACAGCACACGTTCCAACATTACTGGCTGATGTGAGTAGGTTGGGCATGGGAGGGAGGAACCAGCAGATCAACATATAAATCTTGAAAATATTTTAAGAGCCGCACTTTGTCTGCATGCTACCCGCTTGTAATGCGTCTTACTCATTTTTTCTAGGCGCGATGATTTTCGATGTTTATGGCATGTAAACACGCATGTCGTTGCATGTGAGTTTCGCTGATCTACCGTCCCGGCCAGGCAGGCTAACAATTTTGTTTCATAAACGGTTTATCTACGAGGTGGGATTGAGGGGCTGCTGGGCCGGGGGCTCTAGGGGTTCCTGGACTCAGGGGGAAAGTTTGTCTATGAGGACGGGGTCGGCGGCTTTAATTGACAGTTGGAAAGCGGGGTTTGAGAGCTCAGCGGGTTTTGCCAGGTGTCCCTGCTTTTGGGTCTTGGCAGAAAACGGGGAGTGCTTAGACGCCCACGGCCGAGGCGAGGTGAAATAATGGCCCTGTTGTTTCCGGTGGATTCGTCAATCGGCGCTTTGAAGGCCCAAGGGCAGCTTAGGCCACCTTACCTTACCTTCCTTTTCCATTCATTTTACCCTTACTCCGTGAGCCATGGCCGAAAGGCAGTTGCGTTGGTTCATCCTGTTGGTTGTGGCAAAGGGGATCGCATCTGCTGAAACGTCAGCTTCCCAAGCTGCGGGAGCCTCAGTCGCACCCAACCGGGTGTCTCAGAGGCCTGCGTGCCTGGTGCATGTGGTATGGTGCGGTGTTGGGATTACGTTATTGTTCTGGATCGACAGACAGGTCCTAGTGTGCATTCATTTCTCCACATTTCCCCAGAAAATCCAAGAACTTCCCATCTTCAGGCACCCCAGGTAAAGATTGTAGACGAAATTATCGATTACACATAGTAGTTCTAGACGCGAGAGGCTCTGTCGTGCTGTGGTATCGAAATGGCGTGTGCAGACATCTTTTCGGCTGTACCCCGATGAAAGTGCAGTTGGCTAGCGATTGCAGCGTGTTCATGGGCCGGTACTCGTATAGCCATGTGGGGTCTACGTGTGAACATTAGTTTAAACCCTACAACTTCGTGAGCATCGCCTTGTGCTGTGTCTGTCCGCGCTGTTGCTAGACATTCCTAGCATGTGCAACGCAGGGTGTGTGTGCGCCACGCTCTCAAGAGCTTGTCTGAAATACAGCGAGTGCAGCGTGCTTTTCTTGGCTTGAACCGAAGGGTGTTGCAGCAATGTCTTCCTCATGAACTTAGGGGTTGTGACAAAATCCAAGACATGGGTGTTGAAACGACGGAACGATTTTGCGCTGAGCTGCTCTGTTGCTCCAACTTGTGCGCGCTTGCGGCACGGTGGACGTGGCCTTCGCATCACCACAGTAGGGCCTCGGCTTTGCATCTAGGGCGGATTCGCACGGCGTGCTTCTGCCGCGTCGCTCGGTTTCCCGGAAAAGTCCGATTTGAGAACAACCGTGAGGCACGTTTAGAGACAGAAGCATCACGCTTATGACTTGTTGCAACCACAACGACAAAGCAACAACAAGCTGGCAATGAGGATTATGAGACGAGTGCGATAAGCGTGGCATATAAACACAATGCTAACCACCTGCAAGCTGGACAACGCCCCGCGCAGGCAGGCCATTAGCAATGGCCTGGATTCCTCGATACGCCTCTCATCCTGGCGTGCGACTTGGACATTCAGGTCATAGCAGGACGTTGGTGGCGACGGTAGCTCCACCCCCAAAACAGACGCGAGTGGCAGCCTGGACCTGAAAGGCCGGGCGAGCGCTGGGTTGAAGCGGGTAACGAGGCAGTCAACAATGAGCCGGGACGCGTTTCGTTGCTAACCTCGGGGCTGTGGGCCTGGCTCCACCTCCACCGCCTGCAAGGCGATGGCGGGAAACCCCACAACATTCGAGCCAACTGCAAACGCAAGTTCAGGAGCAAGCGCAAGTTCAGGAGCAGGCACTGCCTTCAGCCGGCCGTGGCCCGGGTTTGCCAAGGTGCGCGCGTGGGGTGCAACGTTGCCTTGTCGGCGATAAACCTCGATGTGACGGCCTAGGACACACGGCGCATCGAAGTCATCTCCTTTTGTTTTTTGTTGTTTCTCTCGCTTGTGTTTCCGCCATCTTCGTGGTCCCAGCGCCAGCTCTTTTGTGAGGCGCGCAGACCCCTGCAGAGCACGGCGACCACTGCGCAGGCGTCGTCGAAAGGCGCTGCTGTGCTAGAGTGCGAGCAACCATACGTCTTTTGCCTTTGGATGTTCGTCCACGTCCGTTCCACAAACGCAAAATCTCGTGCCACGGATGTGTCCAATCCACCTGGCCAGGTGCCCCGACACAGATCGAAGTAAACGGCGGACGGAAGGAAGGCAGCAAGCGATCAGCAGCGAGCGATCAGCAGCCGAGAGCGAACGCACCAGGAAAACAGGGAGGCTGTCCATCCAGGATGCCTAGTAGGCGGCATGGCGGTCGGCTATGGCCCCTCGCGAGCCATCTCGCAAGCCCAAGCCGAGGGGCAATGCCGAGGTGACGATGTCGAGCGGGTCCCACGCACGCAGGTTTAGGCCGGGGAGCCCCGATGCGTCGCCGGGATTCCGGTGTCCGGTAGTCCTCTCCGAGGGCAAAGGTGACGTCTCCGGCAGTGTATTCCCTGCCGGTCACCCAGGCCGGCCACAGCACTGTCGCCAAAAATGGCTAAAAGCCATGCAAGTCGTCACCTGACAACGGAAGGCAGACCAACTCGGGGCGTGCCTCTGGCAGAGGCGCTGCAGGCTTGGTCACTTGCATCGCTGCCAGCTGCCTACGGCGGGCTTTGCTTGCTGTCAGCGGAGCGGACGGCTGGCGCGGCACTGGGCAGCATGGACGGATGCGCTCCCTGTCCTCCGTTCCTGCTTGCCCGGACCGCTGCTTGGAGCAGGGCGCGGCAGGCACAATTCCCTACTTGCGCGAGGCGGCGGCAACGCGAGGCGGCGGCAAGCGGGAAGCATGCCCCCGCTGGCAAGCTACAACGGCGCCCGGCCGCAACAGCCGCGTGATGCAGGCCTGGGGACTGGCCGCATGGCTGGCAGTTCCACGCGACGCGGACACGAAACCTCCCTCACGGACCTGCATGACCTGCGCTGTGGAGCGGCAGGCCGATATGGTTGTGGGGGCGAGGTCGATGCGTGTGGAGACCACCACCTCGCCTGCCCCCGCACGGGTCTGCTGCCTCGACGCGGGTTCGTCGTGGAAAGGGCGTGGATCCAGGTCGCTCGCGAGGCAGTCGGTCCTGAGGGTCGGGTCGTGCCGCAGCAGTGGCTGTCGCGCACCACAGCGGCGCACGTCCGGGCCGACGACCGTCGCCGCCTCGACTTCGTTGTGTACGGGGCAACGACCAATGGCGAGGCCTTGTGCTGCGACGCAACGCTCGTCTCCCCTCTCACTCGGACTGGTCGGCCCGTCCCCGGGGCCGACGCTCGGGCGGGGGTCGCGCTTGTTACGGCACGCAGGCGCAAGGTCGCACGGTACCCGGAACTGACGCGAGGGGGGCCTCAGCGGCTGGTTGTCCTCGCTGCTGAAGTAGGGGGCCGATGGAGCGACGAGTGCCAACAGTTCCTCCGCACCCTGCTCCGGCTCCGCGTCCAGCGCGCCCCGCCACCCTTGCGCGCCTCAGCCGCCCAGGGCTGGGCGCGCCGCTGGTGGAGTGTGTTGTCGGTTGCCCTGCAGCGAGCAGTCGCCAGCTCCGCGCTTGGCGTCTGGACAATGCCGCCGCTGCCTGGCGCACCAGATACGCTCCCTTTGAGCGACGTGCTCGACCTGGCGAGTGCGAGCGCCCCCAGTCGGCTGCCGCGTCGCTAGCACTCCGTAGGAGTCTAGGTAGTAGTAGCTGACGTCGTAGGGACTCGGGACGCTTTCGGCGGACGCAAAAGGGCGCGAGAAAAAAAAAATACTGAAGTGGGGGCATTGCACTGCACTGAGTGCATCGCTCAGACTTTCAGGCACCGGCACCTCCTCGCAGAGAAGACGTCTTAGTCTCGCTTTGTGTTTGAGGACTTTTCCGGGTTAGTGCGCAAGGGCGCGCAACCAACTTTGCAACGCTGAGGTTTGTAGTCCTCTGTGTTTAAACTGTTGGTTCGGACTTGTAACCTCTGGTGGCACCGCAGTTACGGGCCCGAAGTGCACAAACATAGAAGCCGGAAAAGCATAGCACTGCACCAGGGGCCCTCACGGCCAGGTGCAGAAAAATTTAGAAAAACCCCACCCACCCACAACCGGGGGTCATTGCACTGCATTGATTGCATCGCTCAGACTTCGCAATGCACACGCTTGTGCATGCTTGCAGGCACATCCTCGCAGAAAAGACGTCTGAGTCTCGCTTTGTGTTTGAGCCAACTTTGTAACCCGCCGGTATGGGCGAGCGTGGCTGCGGAGGTGGGGTCGGTCAGCGCGCGCCACATGGCTTCCGTGCCAGGCGCGAGTTCCGCCGCAGTCAGCACTTGGCAAGCGGGACAGCTCACCCTGGCGCACTTTTGCGCACGCCTGGTGTCACTTACGCTCGGGCTGGCTGGCTGGCTGGCTGGCTGGCTGGCTGGCTGGCTGGCTGGCTGCAGGGCAAGATGCGGTTGCCGCGCGGAGCTCGCTGAGCGCTTGCGTGAAGCCTGCCGCACCGCGGCGCGCATGAAGGGCGGCGCGTCCTGCATTGTCGGCACCGTGTGTCGCAGCTCCTCCGCCCGATCGACGGAATCGAGCTGTTCCCAGAGGCCGGGACATGCCGGGACCTGCTGGTGCGGGCGCTGGGCCTTCAGGGATTTCGCTACAGCAAAGCTTTGGTGGCAGCGGCGACTCGGGGTGCGCGGGGCCGCCACGCTGGTGGCGACCGCGAGGGCCGGCTGCCGGGGCTGTGCGGAGGTCGTTGGCAAGCGTCTCAGCCGCCGCGGCCCCCGCCGCACCTGCGTAGGCTTCCAGCATTGTCGCTTGGGTGGCTGCGGACACATAGCCGTCGGGGGCCATCGCTAGTAGCAGCGCCGCGCCGAAGGGGAGGGGAGCATCTGGCAGCGCTTGTAGCGCCGTCGCGAAGGCAGCGGCCCGGGGTGGGATCCCGACCCGCCAGCCCCGGTACGGAGCGCGTCTTGCTGGCCTTTGGGTTCGTTTTGCTTGTTTGTCTGGCAAATGCTTGGCTGCACGAATTGCTCAGTTTGGCACAGCGTTGCGCGACTTGAACCTGGACCTCCCCGCCTGCGATGCACGGCGCGTCGAGGCGCTCCATGAGGTGTACGTCCCGCTTTTGCTTGATGCTGCGGGCGTGCTCTCAGCTTCTGCGCGCCGTGCATGGCGCAGGCATCCGGTCATGGGGGAGTGGTGGCAGCGCACCGTTGAGGCCTTGCTCGCGCGCCCGTTTCTGCCCGTGCAGGAGCTCTCTCAGGCGGTTGCTCATGTCGGGCGGGCGTTTGGGCCGGCTGTGCTCCTCTCTCCTTCACTGCTTCGCTTCCGCGAGTGGGCAGGGCAACGCCATGCGCAGGTCACCTCACTTGCGGATGTTGTGCGGGCGGCCACGGCCCATCGGGAGGGACACTACCTCGCCGCCCCTTTGCAGGAAGCGCTGCTCACCGTGCTCTTGGGAACACCAGCTGTCACCACCCTCGCGCAGTGGGTCGACGCGCTTCGGCATCCACCTGCCCCCCTGCGGCAGGAGCGGCGCGATCGTG